CAGTTTTATGCCCATAACTAATTTTATATGTATATTATGACAAATTTGTATTCGGTAAAGACATAGAAACGAAACTCAAACAGATAATCTGCACAAACAATTATTTTATTTATTTTGGTTGGAAAATTTTTTTATTTAGCTAATTCCATCAAAATAAAAAGGACACAAATTTCTAGAGATGAAAAAAAAAAATTTAATGCGATTTTGTTCCACTTTGGGATTTTAAATTCTTTCTTGATATTATTTGTGTTTCTTAAATTGGACATAAAATAAAATATGTATTTGGCAATTTTCGGATTATAGATTCCACAAATTTTAAATTGGAAGTTCCTAGAAAACAATGGTACCAAACCGACAAGATAGTTCCTAGAAAACAATGCTCTTTGATTCACATCTCGAACGTTACAAACACAATTTTTGCTTTTACATATTACGTTATACTAGTTTCAGTACATTGATTGTTGTTCTTTTCGTATATCTCTTAAGATGGTTTTCTGAATGAGAGTAGACGATATACAAGAGTTTCTAAAGATCCCAAAACGTGAGGTAAAGAGTCGGCAAGTGAAGATGCATCGAACTGTATTGTCAGTTTGTCACAACATGTAAATAAATTGGAAGAGGTCCAAACCACATGGGAACCCATTTCGAAAAGAATTCTTAAGTGATTTTTAAGTTTGTGTACATAAAATACCATACCAACCTTTTTGGAAAGTTTTGGTCACGTATATTCATTTTTTTTTGTTTTCCTTTTGGGTATAATCCGCGACATTCAATGGCATTTAATTTATGAGTTTTTTTTTGTAATCTTCTTGCCATAAGATTTGGCATTGGTTCCTTACAAATATATTAAAAGATTTTATACGATTTTAGCGTAATTATTAGCAACATTTAAGAAGATTTCAGCAAAAGTAGAAGATTTCAGCAAAAAGTAGCATCTCGACTTTTCAATTAGAGCAAGAAAATAACAAAAATTGAATTAAAAAATAAACACACATTAGCAATGAAATACGTAAACCAAACTGTATTGAACATTAGGGTTCATGTAAACAAACAATAACCCCCAATAATCAAAAACCAAAAACCGAAAACATAACAAAATGAAATCAAGAAAAGTAACATAATGTTTTAGGGCTTAAGACGGAAACACGGCACGGCACAAAGGACAACTTCCACTGCTCCTAAGCCAATTCTCTCCACACGTACGATGAAACACGTGCATACAAGGCATCCGACCCGTCTCCACACCGGATCCAACCCGGATCGTATCCATGCATATCACACAACACCCTTCATTCTCAACAACCACCGTCTCCAAGTGTTGCTCCACCTCCTCCTCGCCTGCCGGAGCTACCGCCAATCTCACATCATCATCATCAACACCGTCGGGAAAATACGGGACCATAATATCCAATTCTATTCCTATTCTTTTCACTTTACGTAGCTCTTCCAAATTCAAGATCTTATGAGCGAGCCTCACAACGATATCGCTATAACGAGGAACATCGATCGTGTCAAGCATTTGAGAGACCGTGGCTTGCATGGTAGCCTCATTGACACCGATGAACCTATCTCTGTCAAACTCGAGAGTTTGATACTTCATTCTAGTTTCCAAAGCGTCAAGATCTTCCTCTCCGTCTGAATCTGCTTCAGGTTGTACGCTGTATGCCACTTCATAATCGAACAAAATCTTGGAATTTTTTGGGAGTTTTGATTTGTAGACCGGCCTGAAAATGATGAAGGTATCCGGTTCCGGGTCATAATCATTGATGTACCAAACCATGATGATGCATGTTGTTGGAAAAGTAGAATTGATAAGTAAGACTTTGAGAGAGAAAGAAACGACCCAGTTAATAAAATGAGGTAATAGAGGTGGTTTGTGTGATCGTGTTTATATAGCACGTAAACAAAATCTAGATTTCCTTTTTTTTTTTTAAAGATTTCGTTTTATTCTCCTCTAATTTAGCAGTGATAAAACTTTTTAAAATCAGTTGAGGTTGAGAATATTTAGTTTAACGGCATGATAGCTGAAAAAAAGGAAAATTTCCTTTTCATATTAATTTTTCATAAGATACTGATTTTATAGTGATAATAAGCTTCATTTTTTTTTTCATAAAAATATAGGTTTTTATGTTGGACTTTTACGTTTATTTACTTTGTGCTGATAATAAGCCCATTTACTTTGGCCCAATACCAAATACCATTGTAATTTTATCTCTACTCGCTTCTCCTTCTTGTTTCTTTTACGAGCATAATCAATCTCTCTTCTAATTTCAGATTTTGTTCCTGTGAAATCAAAGCTTTGTATGATCTTCTTTCAACAGTTTCGACATGGAGGCAACTGGTATTTGGGCAGAAATTGAATGTTCTGAGAGGTGCTTCTGAGAAGATTGATTTTAGTTTTTTGTTGGTTTTGTCAAGAATCTTCCGTTAATCGAGGGATCCTTTGTTCTCTTTAGTAAAATTATCTATCTGATTTTGATTTCAATTTTACATACAAGTTGGAGAAACATATTTTCTAGAAAAGTTCTCTCTCAAATTCATTTCATACATTTATTATGTTTCTGGGTATTTTTACAAGTTGTAGAAAGAAAATTTCAAAGTACAAATTTTGATTGCTCCTTTGTTTGCTGTGAATAGTTACCTTGTGTGCTCTATGTATCAAGAAGCAGAGTCATTATCTTCCTCCATACTGAAAAGAATATTTGGCAACATTGATGTTTTATCCGAGGATGATCATCATCATCAGTTACATGACATGTTGGAATCTGCTGGTATGGTTTTAATCCAATCCTTGCATGGACTCGGCAGGTACTTCAAGACTATTTCAGATTGCTAATTTGAGCATTTCTTTTTTTCCATGTTACTTCTGTTTTGGAATTGGATGCTGTAAGAAACTTTAGAGTTTAGTACACTTTGCTCTGTGATAGTTTTTTTTTTTTTTTCCAACAAATGCCTTTTTTCATGCAGGACTGTAGAGATTGTAAACGAGTTAAGAGATGTGTTTGGCGAAATTGCAGCTA